AAAAGCTACCTAGGACCTCGAGCGCTGATTGTAGCCAATCAGAGTGTGAGAACAAATCATTGTATGGCATTACTCTTTTTTCTTTCACTTTGTTTATTTCCCTATTTCGCAATGCCACGGGACCAAATCCCAGTGGCTCCCTTCTGCCAGTCTATGTTATGATTGTTATTAAAAGCTCTGTCATACAAGTAGCTCTTGGCTGGGCATTGATGGCTCACACCTGTAATCCTAGCTAATAAGGGATTATGGTTCAAAACCAGCCTGGGCAGGACAGTGTGTGAGACTCTTATCTCCAATGAACCACCAAAAAGCTAGAAGTAGAGCTGTGTGGCTCAAGTGGTAGAGCACTAGCCTTGAGCACAAAAGCTCAGGGACAGGGAAGTTCAAGCTGCAGGACCAACACACACACACACACACACACACACAATTAGTTCTCAAGAACTCTGGGGATTAACTTGAGTTGGTAAGGGGCTGGGTGTTTGCTGACGGGGGTGGGGAGGTGGGGGTGGGGGAGGAAGGGAGGTTAAGATCTCAGTGCAGACTTTTTGCCTCGCATTTGAGAGTCACTGAGTTCCCTGGGTTCATTTCCCAGTATTGCACAGAAAAGAGAAATAATAATCGCACAAACAATTGATAAAGGGTACTATAGAAACCTTTGTGAAGAAATTAAAAGAAAAAAAAAGGGAATCCAATGCATTATCCTACAAAATTAAGAAGAGTAGAGTAAGGGGCAGAATGGGTAAGAATATTGAAAGGGGTGACATTGATCAAGATAGATAGTATTCATAAACGGCTTTGTTCAAAGGCAACTCCTTCATACATCTACATGCTAATAATAATAATGATGACGATGATGTTAGTACACTCAGCATCTAAACACCTTTCTGCTTGAAAGAACTCCCCCCACCTTGTCCCTGAGCTTTGTTTGTACTCAGGACAATTGCTCTACCACTTGAGCCACAATGCCACTTCCAGCTTTTTTGAGTAGTTTACTGGAGATGGGAGTCTCACCGAGATTCCTGCCTGGGCTGGCTTTGAACCACAATCCTTAGGTCTCAGCCTCTTGAGTAGCTAGGATTACAGGTGTGAGCCACCAGCTCCTGGCTTATGGTTTTTTTTTGTTGTTGTTGTTGTTGTTAGTGTCTCCATTGAGAACACTTCTGACCATGTCGCCACCCCACTTATACCCAGGCCACCAGCAGTGTGTAGCCCTGAGATCATCTCTGAAAGCAGATGGCTTCCTTCCCTTCTTGGCATTCTTCTCTGTCCCCCAGCAATGTAGCCAGGAAAAAAAAGAAATATAACTATACATCCTATCATACTCCTTTGTTCAATATTCTTCACATAGAAGGGGGAAAAATCCGTGTCCTTCCCACAGCCTACTTGGTCCATGGTTTCTGCCTACTTTTCCTGACTTTATTTTCTGGTTCTTGACTTCTTTCCCTCAGCATTCTGACCTTTATCTTGTTCCTCACGCACATCACAATGTGAGAATGTGGACAGGTGGAAATGTCAGAACCAGTGAAGATGATCCTAGCAGCAAGCTTAACGGAAGACAGATTCTGGTATCCATCAGGCAAAACCTTCAGTGACACACCTACATAATCACATTTGTATTCCTTCTAGTTCTGGGAAGATAGGATCTTATTAGGTCTTCCTTGTTTCCAGGGCAAGAAATTGAGGCTCACGTGCCTGAGTTAATGGAATGTATGTGGGAATGATTATATCATTTCTGGCGTGGTTAAGAAGACTGCACAGGGAAATTCTCTGTCTCTCTGTCTCTGTCTGCCTGTCTCTCTGTCTCTGTCTCTCTCTGTCTCTCTGTCTCTATCTCTCTCTGTTTGTCTGTCTCTGTCTGTCTCTCTATTTCTGTCTCTGTCTCGGTCTCTCTCTGTCTCCTGTCTCTCTGTCTCTCTCTCTGTGTCTCTTTCTCTGTCTGTCTGTCTGTCTGTCTGTCTCTTTCTCTCTCTCTCTCTCAGTAACTTCACTATGGTGACACGAGATGAGCATGCAGGGCTCCTAGGTCAGTTAGAGCTGATCCCTCAAGGCTGTGGGTTTTTTGTTTTGTTGTTGTTGTTGTTCTGGTAACCAATGAGATCCTTCAATCGAGACCATTAGATTTACTAAGGGCCAAACAAGCACACATAAGCTAGGTGCTGGTGACTCACGCCTGTAATCCCAGGGGTTGAGGATGCTGAGATCTGAGGATCATGGTTCCAAGCCAGCCTGAGCAGAAGAGTCCTTTGGGACTCTTATCTCCAATTTACCAGGGGAAAAAAAAGAGATGGAAGTAGAAATGTTGCCTGCTCAAGTGGTAGAACACCAGAACCAAAGGAAAACATGAGGTCCTGAGTTCAAGCTCCAGTACCTGCACAAGCCAACCAACCAACAACAACAACAACAAAAAGTAGGTGCACATACCCCAAAACATTGGAAATACTTAGGAGAATAAGTCATTCCCTGGCAAGTGTGGTTATTTTTGGCCAGGGATATGGCTGGAATCCATGCTACCCAACCATTATACTCTTAACAACTTCCAGCTCTCGTGAATTTTCTCTACCAGGAAAATTCCTCTTGCTTAATAAAAGAGCTTGCTGCAGAAGCTCAAAACCCAGCAGCAATTAATTATTGACAGAGTATGTGAATTGGAGATAAAAGAAAAGTCATTCTTTGTCCCCCCCACACATACACATGATAGTAAATAAATTTAATTATAGGAGAAGAAGCTTGGGGGATCTTTATGTGTATTACGTTTTATTAGCTGAGACATTTAAAAGCATGTCATCCTAACAAAGAGGTCTCATGTAATCCTAAATGTTCCTCTTTGGTGTGAGGCTCCGGAGTGAATAGACTTAATAGCGCACCTGGTGGCAGATGGCTGCTGCCCTGACAGGTATTGAACAGGTTTATCATCAATTAACTCTGGTCTACATAGGCCTACAGCAAATTGGATACATAATAGTACCCTAAGCTTCTTTTTATCATGGATACTCCCACCTCATTCATTAGGATTTGGGGGGAACAGTGAGGGATCCCAGAGCTCCAGAATATGCTAAGGGTACTCTGAAGACAGGAGATGGAGAGAAGAAAAGTACCCTTGTCAAAGGATGTAAGAGATGTGGGCCCTGGTATGGGCTCTCTGTTAATCACCTTGGTGCTACTGTAACCAACACTGAGATAGCAGCGTAGGAGGAAAAGTTCATTACAGCTGATGGTTTAACCATTTTCAGTCCTTGATTACTAGGCACCCTTGCTTTTAGGCCTGCAGCAAGCAGGTAAAGGAAGCCCATGCATAGAAGAGATCAAAAGTAAAATAAGGGACTAACTCCTCCCATGGACATAGAACTTAAGACATGGGTGTTTTCCTTACATGCTGGCTAGACTGATGTTTATTCCACTGTCAGGAAATGAAAGCAAGAGAAAAAGGCAAGGGCTGACATTTCAATATTTCCCCCAATGACACACCCCCAATAGCCCAACTTCCTCCCACAGGCCACGCCTCTTAAAGATTCTGCCACCTTCCAGGAACACCAGAGGCTTTTAGCTCGTGGGTCTTGGGAACGGGATCTTTTAGTGGTCCCCTGGGTAAAGTATGAGATCCAAGATACTGCGGAGAAATCTCATAGTTTGAACCAGGCCTATGGCTAGATGCTCTTTCTTTACACATGTCATTTTATTCTCCATTGAATGCGAGGTACATTTTAGGATCTTACAGATGGAGATGAGGCATGGAGACATGATTCAACTGGCTGGGTTCACAAAGACCTGTTTGATTTCTTTCATCGCTCCTGGACTTCAGTGAGTCATTGATACAATAAATGTCATTGGATTAAACTCAGAGGTCAGCGAAACATTTCCTTAAAGGGCCAACTGTGAATACATTAGGTCTCAGGGGCCATATGGTATCTGTCTCACCTCGTCTGCCCGTTTTCATGGCATAAAAACAATTATAGATAACACATAAATAAAAGAGTGTCTATGGTTTCCCCCAACACAGGTTTATTTGTGAGCATTTCAATGTGAATCTCTATAATTTTCATCACACCAGGTTATTATTATTATTATTATTATTATTTGGGGATTTTTCTTTTTCTAACCACTTAAACATTACAAATCCTTCTTTGCTCTGAGTCATACAAAACACACACAAACACACACAAAAAACAAAAAAATAGGAGATGGGCGGGAATTCACCAACCCTAGACTGGATAATCTTGGAGGTGTTGTTGAGCTCTAACGTTTTCTAAAAGCCATGGCAACAATAAGATCTTTAATTTATTAAGCCCTTGAACATGCCAGACTCTCTGCTAAACGCTTCCCAGAATTATCTGCCTTAATCCTTACATTGCCCGTGTGAAGTCAGGGATATCATTATCTCCATTTCAGAGATTATAAAACTAATAGTAGAGAAATTAGGGGGTGTATCTAAGGTAAACATAACTAGTAAGAGGTAGAAAAGCAATTTAAACTCAGGCATAGAAGAGTCTCAAGAAAGAATAAGTCATCTGCTAGTTTTTTTCTGATAATCACTTAGAACTATATGTGGAATTACAGATTAAAAGAAACCCCATGTGTTTATCAATTTTGCGGGCTCCCTGAGGTTACTGTGTGTGTGTGGAGGAGAGATGGAGAGGGAGAGAGAGACAGAGAGAGAGAGAGAGCCCTGGGGCTTGAACTCAGAGCCTGGGGTCTGTCTCTTAGTTATTTTGCTCAAGGTTAGTACTCTATCCCTTGAGCCATAGTTCCACTTCCAGCTTTCCCCTGGTTAACAGGAGATAAGAGTCTCATGAAGTTTCCTTCAAGGGCTGGCTTCTAATTGCGATCCTCAAGTCTCAGACTGCTGAGAAGCTAGGATTACAGGGGTGAGCCACCGCTGCCTGGCTACCCTTGTGTGTGCGCGTGTGCACACACGCGTATGCAAGCCTGTGTGCACAAACCTATTCAATGATTCCAGGGTGGTAATAACGATGTTCTGCTGGCTTTGTCCTCCCCTTTCCCAGAAACGTGATGCCCAAGACCGTGGAAGGGCAGCTAACCATGGAGAAGACTCCAAGTTACTTTGTGACCAACGAAGCGCCCAGGCGCATTCATTCGATGGCCAAAGACATCAAACTGATCGTGGTGGTGAGGAACCCCGTGACCAGGGCCATTTCTGACTACACTCAGACGCTGTCCAAGAAACCCGAGATCCCCACCTTTGAGGTGCTGGCCTTTAAAAACCGGACTCTGGGGCTGATCGACGCGTCCTGGAGCGCCATCCGCATCGGGATTTACGCCTTGCACCTGGAGAACTGGCTCCAATACTTCCCCCTCTCCCAGATCCTCTTCGTCAGCGGGGAGCGCCTCATCGTGGACCCCGCTGGGGAAATGGCCAAAGTCCAAGACTTCCTGGGCCTCAAGCGTGTGGTGACCGAGAAACATTTCTATTTCAACAAAACCAAGGGGTTCCCGTGCCTCAAGAAGCCGGAGGACAGCGGTGCGCCCCGGTGTTTGGGCAAAAGCAAAGGGCGGACTCACCCCCGCATCGACCCCGACGTCATCCACAGACTGAGAAAGTTCTACAAACCCTTCAACAGGATGTTCTACCAAATGACCGGGCAAGACTTCCAGTGGGAACAAGAAGAGGGTGACAAATGAGCCCGCTGCAGAGTCGGATGGCCAGAAGGCTCTGTACCTGAGTCCTGGGTTGCCTCCTCCCACCCCAGCTCCCCCCTCCAGGGTCCGATGGCAGGTCAGCCTTTTGGGGTGGGAGAGGGGAGGGCAGCAAGTCGCCTCCCTGTCAGGATCCCTCCAGCACTGAGGGCTTAGGCAAAAAGATGGGATCCGTGGCCCTCCCATAGGGGAACCAGACCAGCCTGGACAGCCAGCTGTCTCTGGTTGACCAGATGCCCGAGAACCCACCATGAATTTTTGCCTTCTATTTATTGGTTAGTAAGAGAACCAAGATAAGGCAAAGGTCTGTCAAAGTCAGAGGAGGATGCTGGATGCCACCCGAGTTTGTATGGTGAGCATCGACAAGGAAAGGGAGAGCTCCTTGCTGGGGGGTTCTTACTTCCGTTGGGGGAGGCCAGATTCTTAGCTCTGCACCTGGCACAGGTACCTGACCCATGAGCCAATGCTTGGGTTTCTTATCCAGAATGCGATTTGGGGCTAGGAGCTCCAGGACTCTGAGAAAGCACACGGTTCTCCATCGAAGACATTTCCAGCCCTCTCATTCCGGAGGCCTCTCTCACCCAGCACCCCCAAATTTCCTTGTTCCCCACAAGAGGAAGGCAGAGACATGCCCCTCCACTCCCCACCAAAATTGAAATAAAAATAAATACATGGAAACAGCAGACACCCGGAAGCTTCCTTCCTGAGAGCTATGTGGGAAGGGAAAAGGTTCCCCCCGTCTTTAGGAGTGACCTGAATTGTGGAAGATCAGGTCCCACAGGGATGAGGTTGCTCTCAGAGTCGAGTGTGGGCAGCAAGGCTGGCAAAAATAAATAAGTAACCATATCTGAGGGTGGAGGAAAAAGAAATCCAATCCAATAAGTGGGACGTGTCTTTTTTACTGAAAGACCACCCCCACTTTATCCTCAACTCCCCCAAGCACCCAGGATCCAGTGGTGTATTTTGAGGAAACTTTTTGCCCCCTACACACACACACACACACACACACACACACCACCATGAAAGTCCCTAAAGAAGCGAAGATCAGAGAGCTGCCTTGTCTCTTGTGTTGACTACACCGTAGGGATACAGTGGAGGGGAGAGAGAATGTTTACCGTTCTCCTATTCCTCCCAAACCTCCTCAACCCACTCCCGCCCACCCCCAAGGTCACCTCATGGCTTATTTGGTCTATACAGAGACAGTTTCTGTTGGGGCACTGACAAGAGCTTTGATCCATTTGTCAGATGCTGGGGAGGGCTGTGTGCAGGTGCCCCCCATTAAGGGCTGCCTAATAAAGCATCTTTTCCCATTAGTTTGAATGGATTCAATGCAGCATTTGACATAAAAGCACTTGTTCATAAATCTCTGAACCCAGGAATTGTTCTAGTAAAAAAAAAATTGGAAATTTGTATGAGTTGGGGAGGGGGAGTGAAATCTGTTCAGCTGTTTAATTAAACTGTCATTTCTCCTGCCCAATGAACACCGTGTTGTTATAAAGCTTCATGCAACCTGATAAATCGGTTTTTGATGGCTTCTTTGTCATTGGTCACTTCCGGTTCCTCGGCTCCACCCAGACTCTGGAGAGCTGGCCAATGTTTTTCCTCTGGGATGGACGGGAAAAACAGGTTTGAGAGTCTTTGGAGCGTTTTGTCTGCAGGGTGGGTGATTCTTGCAATAGCACAGAGAGTCCAAAAGCAGCACATGTTTCCATGTTTCAGCCAGCGTTGCCAGGGCTAGTCTGATATGCCACAGTCATAAAAAGCCTTGCAGATGAATTCCTCTTCAGATAAGAAAACCTTGAGTCGAAGCCTCCACGTATACTTTTCCTGTCAAAGTAAAAGAAGATAGAGATCAAACTACAAATGCACCTGTGTTTAAAGGAAGGGAATGTCTTCCTGTTCAGAGGGCTTATTGCAGGATTGGCTAATGTGAGACCTTGTTTTATAAGCAAAGCAAGGAGAGTGGGTCATTAGCCCTGGCTACAACTCAAGACATCTGTGGATTATGGTTTAAGACCTAGCTTTCAAGTGAAGCCTGGTAGAGCATGCCTGTAATCTCAACACTCCTCTGACATTGAACATGGAGAATCTTAAGTTCCAGGACCGCCTAGGCCGCAAAAGGAAAACCCAATTAAAAAAAAAAAAAAAAAATAAAAACCCAAAGAAACAAAATAACACACCACTCTAGGATTGAGAACAGCTGGAGGAAAGTCTCCTCTAAGTGTCACATGGTTCCACTCCTGTCCACTCCTTGGCTGTCTATCTGTCTCCTTGTCCCCACAAACACGAGACATCCAGACCCCAAGTTCAGCTTCCCAAGTAAGCTAATACATGTGTGTGTACTCACATACATGATACATGAATAGGGCAAGCAAATCTAGTTTTCATAGGGCCGATCAGCCATGTTCACTTGGGAAATAAAAGTGGGGAGATTCTCCTTCAGAAATTATTCCTACACCCTTCCCTGTGGTAAGTCAACTGCAGGAAAACAATGTCTGTCTGTTCATAAGGATGGCCTATGGGGCTGGCTGAGGAAGGGACCTTGTTTTATGACAACAAGGAGTTGTCATTATGGGGCTTGAGCCCTGAATACAACTCAGCGACCTGTAAGGTTTTTTGTTTTCTTTTCTAAGTCATGGGGCTTGAACTCTGGGCCTGGGCACTGTCCCTCAGCTCTTCAGCTCAAGGCCAGCGCTCTACCACTTGAGCCACAGCTCCACTTCTGTGTTCTGGTGGTTTATTAGAGATAAGAGTCTCACAGACATTCCTGCTTGGGCTGGCTTTGAACCTTGATCCTCAGATCTCAGCCTCCTGAGTAGCTAGGATGACGGGCATGAGCCACCACCGCCAGGTCTGACTTGTAGGTTTTAATTCCTGGATTATAAAGGAACAGAATCCTGACCTTGAGGTTCTGAAGGTTTTTCTTCATTTGGTGACCTAGTTCTAAGAAGAGGTACAATCTGATATGGCCTATTAGCTGCACTATCTACTCTACCTGGATCTTTGTAACTCTGGGAGGAAGCCATAAAGCTGTGCCCTCCCCTCCGTGGAAAGACTTCATGAAGGAATTATCTTCTCTCCAGAAAAGCCAGGTCAACTTGTAAACACAGAGCAGGTTAATAACACTTCCTAATAACACATTTAAGCCAGCGCCAGCCAACTCTCAGGGAGATTGAATGCTATACTTGATTTCAATTAGCAAAGCATAAATTATATTCAATTCTCTAGCCCCCCCTTTCCTCCCTCAAATACATGACTCATGGTTCTGAAGGGCTAAGTGGTTTAGAGAAAAAGGAGAATTCAGCTTTCCAAACGGTTCTCCTATAGTCCTTTATTTGTTGCAAGTAGCATGTTGTAACAAATCCTTCCCATTGTAGCTTAGACCTTCCAGCTCCACACACAGCCATCACAACCACAAGAACACCCAACAACAGCTCCATCCATTTTTTTTTTTTTAGTCTGATGGAAGCAATGGAATCGTGTATGGTAAATATTCGGCTGAATTCTTGCACTCTGAATTCAGAATTCTCGAGTTCTGAGTTCTAGTCCTGGGAATCCTATTCAGCCCGAAGGAGCCCTTCAGGTAAAATTCGGAGTCCAACAAGAATGTGATGTGCTCCAGCCCATAATACTAGGGTGTGTCTGAGCCCCCCCTTTTCTAAGGCCTCTTGGTCCCCACTTTCCTACCCCCTGTCATTCATGTCTCCATTCTTTCCTCTAAGAAAGCTTTGGTCATAGCCCAATAACGTGGAGAACAGAGATAACCAGGTTTTATCCTTGCCTGGGCCTGTCTTGGGTGAGCAAACTTACCCATCTGAGCTCTAGTTTTCCTTATCTACAACACAAGTATATGTAATCCTATCTAGCCCATCACCCAGGTTTTTCCTCTGACAACTCTGAAAGTAAGTTAATAGGGGGGAAGACATGGGAAAATAATACCATATTTCATTCATGTAAAGGATGGTGGTGATGCCAACGCTGATGATGAAGATAATGGTGATGGTAGAGGTGAGGATGATATTGATGAAGAAAATGAAGGAGGAAGAGGAAGTTACTAATGACACTTTCAGAGCAATGATGTCCCAAAGTGGAACAACTGATCTGTATAAAGCCCAGCCCAGACCAAACACACACACACACACACACACACACACAAGAAGCTCTCTCTAAATTGCACTGATCCAACTGAAATTCACAATCCAGCTGTAAAACTGTCTCCCTACCCCAGAGAAGGGTCCTTCTACCCTGTGCTGAACACTACTTCACCTGGCCTTTCTCCTCCTTCCAACTCGAGATTCTTTTAGATATGAGAAGGCTCCAAGATTCATTCACACACACCCGATCCTCTTGAGACAGAAATAAAGGTGGAAGTTCCCCACACCCAGGCCATGAGTTTGATATTTGAAGTTCTGATTCTTCTCATTTTACATGGAAGACAAATGGTCGACAACCAAGACCCCATGCTTGGGCACACAGCTCTTATATGTTTCTTGAAAGAAAGTTAGAGAATCATCCTTGGGCTCCTATAATACAGTGGGGTGGGAATGATGAGTCCATATGGATTCTAATTTCTCATAGGAATTAGGAGTTGTGATTCCCAGACACAAAAGATCACACAGGGTTTAATAACATAAGACAATGTCATATATATCACCATCAAAGATGGAAATAAAGATAGACCTACCAAAGATGGAAATAAAGGTATACCTTCCATGCAAAGGGAGCCAGAATCCCTGGCTTTGGGAAGACAACACAGCTGTGGCACCAATCACGTTTAAGTCCCTGCTGATCTATAGGGTGACTGAGTTACAGCTGAAGGAAATACAGAGCAGGACAAAGTCACCTTGACAGAGCTCCCAGCCTCATGGTAATGATGGGTATAGGGGTGTACTTGGACAAGGGTTTATGCTGTTGTGAGAGAAGTGTATGGGTTGCCCTAAGAATGGAATAACTAGGAAATCATGTGGGCAAGATCCAATAGGGAAAAAAAGAAGGCCACCAACTACTTGTGGCATTAAAGACCACGCTCTGTAGCAATTTGTCTCATCATAGGTCTATGACTATCCTCCAGTGGAGTTAGACCAAATCATGAAACAGTAGACGCCACCAAAATGAGACATAATGAAAAAATAATAGTGTCCCTTAAGAAATCTACTAGCCAGAGATACCGTATGAAAGGAGAAGTGTGCAGAGGAGGTCATTATTATAAAGGAAAAGTGGCTGGAGCCAAGGCATT